AAGAGAATGGACTGAAGTTTAAACTGTAGCTTTTGATTGCTATGGACTGGTCAAAATATAATCCCAAAATATTAATTAAAATGCTGAATGATTAATTAATTATAACTACATAAAGAAAAGCAATGGGAAAATATTTAATAGAGCTCAACCATGACAACATTAAGCAGGAAGTAATCTGCCTGTGAGTTGTCTAGGTTATTCTGGTATGACATTAAGAATTGTAATTGTGTGTTTATGTCTATTTCTGTTCCCTAGGTCAGTTTTTCTCTAATACCCATTTTGAAGGACATTCTGGCCGAAGGAGAAACATTAACGTGCAGGGAAAGCTCCATAGGGCCATTAGGTGAGAGAAACCAAAGAGCGCTTACTTGATAAACCATCTTTGCTGCCTTTTTTTCTAGGCTAAAATACCTGGATCTTTGGAACTTGGCTTTTATGACATACTTGAGAATGCAAGTGGTGATGGAGTTGCAGAAAAAGCTTACTTAAAGGCAGAGGAGTTTCAAAAGTGTTAGAAAATAAAATGTAGTTTTTGTCATGATCTATTCATTAATTCTGGAAGCTCTATCAGAATGGTATATACAGTCCACCTTACTTTAAGCTCTCAGAGCAGAGAGATACAGATATTACATTATGTCATGCCGCCATGTACAGGATTTCACATGACTTCCACCCTACTTTTTGGACAGCGGTGTATGAAATTTTTCTGTTTTTACACAGTGTATATCCTGTGTGGTATTTTCAGTTACATTGACCAGCAAAAGGTATCACCTAACTGGTTTCATTCGTACTGAGATTCCTCAGACATGGGTTGTTGGAAGTTATTTGAACCCCTTGGAATAATATCAGCTATCCATATCTGAAGATTCCCAATTAAGGATGAAACCGGTCACACAGTGCCTCCTGGTGGTCAATGTCATTGATTTGGGTAAATTTCTTTTCAACATAACTGTAACTTCATGTTAAGTCCTTTTTAACAAAAACGAATTGTGTGGACCCCTCACTGCAATTCTAGGGTAACCAAAGTAAATAAGCTAATCAGATAATAATATAATGCCACAGGTGGTTTATGTCTGGATACAGCTTTTGACAGTAATAATGACACTACTTAACCCTTCTCTTTTTGTATTTTTCAGGACACATAAGAAGGATTATAGAACTGGACTGAATAAAACTGAAGTTACCTGCTGGTCACTGGAAATAAATTCTTAAAAAAAAAAAGATTGTTATTGTTTACTGTCCATGATGTTATTAAATGGCATAAAGTCCCCCACATCTTTTTCAGTTTAACTTTGTTTAATTAGATTATGGGCATAAGAGTTAGTGGTCACACAGGTTGAATGAAATTGTTAGTGCCATTAAAACTCGGTACATCATGGAAACCTAAATACAAAGAACTTACTTTGTTTTCTAAGGAAAATAAACCTATTCTTGTCCTTACTAAGAAGTTATATCCTTTTTTGAACTGCTATTTAGTTTAAAATAGCATACTTATTATAATGTTACAAATCAATCTAAATTTCCTTATTGGCTTAATAATAAACATAAGCACTTGTGATAATGATAACAATAATGACATCTAGCCAGTTGAATAAAGAATTCAAAGAGAGGAGTATTGGGCTGAGTTTCCAGGCAATTAATGTAATGATTCTGCATTAGGTTATATAAATGCATATAATTACTTACAGATGATCCCTCATGCTACTTCTCGCTGAACAAATGGTAATTCTGAAAGAACAAAATATTGCCTGTTCTAATTTTTCTCAAAACATTCTAAAATGTAGTTTCACAATTTGCTATCAGAGGTAAGTTAGATGTTTTCTGGCCAATATATTATCAAAGCAGATACTATATTATATAAAAGAATTTAAAATATTCTTCCCCGCAAAGCGTGCCAAAAAAACAAGAGACTAGAAACAAAGGAGTTTCCTTAAGAGTAGCAACGTAACTTACCTTCTAGTTCTGATTTTGTCAAGATGGCCGGCCCCCTGGATAGAAGTGACAGTGCTTCAATTCATAGTCGCATTTGTTTCTCAGCCCGTGCTCTAGCCAGAGACATATCTTCTGCAGGTTCACAGTACCAGAAATGTGTGACTTTTAATTATGCAGTACATGATTCTGCTGTCTCTCAGGATCATTGAAGGTACACAACCTCTCCTGCCAGAGAGAGATAATCATGAATTAAAGATTGCACCCTCCCCAGGGAAGAAATAGATGGGAATAAATACATAAATAAATATAAACATAAATACAGACAAACATTCCAAGTAAGGTTCAGATTCCTCACCATATCTGCTTAAGGTTGCCAGCTTCGGCTGAAATCAATCTGGGAGATTCTCCATCCCTGCAGATGTGCCCAATTGACAATCTCTTTTTGTTTATACATATGCAGTACATACATGTGTATATATATATCTGCCAGATGCTACGCTCCAAAAGAAGGGCATGGTCAAGACAAACAGAATAACTTTAATTGAACTAAAACTTTCAATTAAAATTAATTGCCTATAAAATAATGTACCCTGTTTCTAAAATTAACTGATTCCCATCCTACACAAACCAGTCTCACACATGTAAACACCCAAGAACATACGTGGGCACATATGTAAATGCACAAAAACACACTAGGGCATTTCCCTTCTTCCTCTCATCAGAAACAGCAAGTTAAAAAAAAAAAAGTTTCTTACCATCTAATTTCAGGGGCTGGTGTTGAGAATTAAAATCCTAAACAGAGTATCTGAGGAAATGCCTCTCCTTCTATGAACCTGCCTAGTTACATTGATCAACAAGAGTGGTCCTTTTGAAATGCCCCCCGTTGCGGGTTTTTTTTAATCACCAATAACCAGACTGAGCTAGAATCAACAGACACAAAGCACTGGAAACTTGGATAATTAATTGATGTTTTGTATCTCTCTTCAGTGGCTGGGGGAAGACTTTTATTTTACAAAAAGAAAGCTTACAAATAAAAGAAAGGAAGTTGAAGACTAGCATAGAAATGAATCTTAATAAAACCATTTTCTATTTTAACCATCTATTTTCTTTACCTACAATATATTTTTAAAGTCCAATTTCACTATATTTCCATTCTATATCTCCAGTATATTTATTGACTGCTGACTTCTGTATTTCTGTTGTCCTAATCCCTATATATCTCTATTGTCACTCTCTATAGACCTGTATGTCTTTTTCTTCAGAGTTCAATCTGACTTTTATCTTTTTTAAGTTTCTCTTTTCTATTTCTTTTCTTTTCAAATACTTTTTATGAAAAAGTTTTACAGTGCTAAAAGGTAATACAAACTGAAATCAGAAAAAAAGAAAAGAATTACAAAGTGCAAAAAAAAGTGCTAAAAGGTAATACAAACTGAAATCAGAAAAAAAGAAAAGAATTACAAAGTGCAAAAAAAGAAAAAGAAGAGGAGAGGAGAGGAGAGAGGAGAGGAGAGGAAGGGGGAAAAAAAGAATATTCAAAGCAGTGACACCAACCTTCCAAGGAGAGGAGAGGAGAGGAAGGGGGAAAAAAAGAATATTCAAAGCAGTGACACCAACCTTCCAAGGAGAGGAGAGGAGAGGAAGGGGGAAAAAAAGAATATTCAAAGCAGTGACACCAACCTTCCAAGGAGAGGAGAGGAGAGGAAGGGGGAAAAAAAGAATATTCAAAGCAGTGACACCAACCTTCCTTGCAACAAGTACAGGCAGATTAATAGTTACCCACCCCCTATGAGATTACATATATGGTTCCCTTCTTCCCATAACCCCCTCCTTATCCATTCACAAATCCGAAAATCATCGTCATTTCTGTCCAAACATCAGCAAAAAGTCCATAAAACCAGGACACCTTTAGCAACACTGTCTCAAAGTGAAGACCCAAGTTAATGAGGCTGAGCCTAAAAATCATGCGCCAGGAGAACCTCCCAGTAAAGACTTCCTTAAACTCAGTGCAGAAGCTTTTCTACCTGTAAGTCAAGTGTATGTGTTGGTGGATTGACATCCAGAAATGGTCTGGAAAGATGGTGGAGCCACAATGTCCACCATGGATGCCTCATCCATCCAATATCACCCTTTGGTCAAGGTACCAACCAAAACAGCCTTTATTAAACTACTTTTTCAGTGGACAAGCTGGAAAATGGAGTGGAAATTTATGGTGATTAAAAAGCATTCCTATGCCCTGCTATGCAGAAAAGATTAAACTGAACAAATATGAGAAATGCTGTCACTAGGAGAGAAGGAATGAGAGTTGCCAAGGCAAACCTCATTATCTTCCCAGCAGGAGGTCACTCTAGGAAACCAAGGGCATATGTGTAGAAGACACAGCTGGAGGAGAGGAACAGAGTCCAGGAATCTAGGCTCCAGGAGAAACAGGTGGAAAGACAGGTATCTCCAGAAAACATGGGATGAACCTGCCCATTCAGAGTCCTTACAGCCCAAAAGAAGTAAACCCTCTGGAAGAAAAAGAACCTACAGAGATCCTGGGAACAGTCCTTAGGAGTGATGCAGATTAGTTTGAAAGAGAACAGGAGGGGACCAGAGCCTATCCAAGATCTGAGAAGAGGTGGAACAGGTTCATTGATCTGGCTCAGCACTGTGGTTTGTAAACATTAGTTTATGGCTTGGGATGTTGTTGAACTCTGCAACAGTGGCTTATTCAAAAAGCATGGCTTATTGCAATGGCTAAATCCATTCTCAAAGGCAATCAGTCAAACTGCATTGTTAGAAAACAGATTACAACACAGGCAGAAATAATTACCATAGATGGAACTATAAGTGAACACAAGACAGAAGTACTTTGTAGGAGGAGAGCTGTGTTAGTCTGTGGTGGCAAAACATCAGAAAGAGCCTGGTAGCATCTTATCCACCTAACAAATTTTATTAAAAGACATAAATTTATGCCTTCTAATAAATGCTGTTTGTTGGAAAAGGTACAAGAAGACAGAAGTACTATGCCTGGGAAATCTCGGAAATGTATGTCAATGAGCTCATTAGCTTTTTGTTCCTTTTCTACTTAATCTACTGCTTTGTCATATGTGAAGGCAGAAACCCAATTTTCCAAAACTCCGAGTTGTAAATCTGCCATTCAGCAAGTTATTTGGGGCTTTCCTAGGAATAAACAAGTCTGGGGTAGCTTTCATTACTGCTGGTTTCCTGCAGCAGCCGGGATTATTCTGAGAGTGGATGGGAGAGAAGAAAACCAGCAGAGCTTCATTTGGGCTTGTTGCAAGAGCAAAGGGACAAGCCCTTTTAGCCATAAGAGAGCCTGGCTTTTCCCCACGTGATCAGTCTTTGACTCTGTTGAACCACTGTTAAATATTGGCTATTTCCAGGATTTTGTAATCAATTTGCAGGCATTGACAAATATTTGGTTTTCTGTCTGAGTTTCTGATTCATGTTTCACTGAACTAATTGTAAGACTGCATGATCTTGTGCATTCCTGCTGATGTGCATTAGTCTTTAACAATGGGGAGACGTCTGCTGTTTTATATTCTGCTGGCAGTGATTCCTGCTGTTGGATCATATGATTTTTTAATAAGTAATGTCAGGAATATCAAGGTAAGTGTACAGAGAAGCAGATGTGTATTTATTCATTTGTTCATTTATTAGACTTACACCCCACCACAATCAAACGGCTCTCAGTGACTTATTGATATTGAAACCATATGAGTTATGCATGCATTGTTTTGATTCTGAACTGCTAGCAAAGGCTCCAGGGGCAGGTTCCTCCCGTTTTAAATGTATATTTTTATTCCTTCCAATGCACAAATATGAGGGAAACGCAAGATACAATACTTGTTCCTAAAATCGTATCATACTCCTCGCCATGTGAAGACAGCCTGGTTTGTGTTTTGGGCTCGAAGGGTTTCTTTGCACTCCATCCATCAGAGCTTACAGCATATGTGGTGGAGAAGTAGGCAGTATAAACTAATAGTGCTATACTAATTGCCTCATTAATGCCGTTCCTTCTTTTTGTCCCACTTGCCTATTTAAATCCATTTTGATATGTTCAAGGCTTCCCTATTTTACACTTCTCTTGGATTTTGGAGATTGCAAAAATTGGGTCATGTAAGCTACTATTTTTGAAATTGCAGTATTGCAGTATTAAACCCCATTCTTTCCTGTTTCCAAAGTTTGTACTATATGCAGTTTGCTACAGCTTTCAGTATGCTGTATTCCAACTTTACTCTACTTTGGCTTTAGACACTCACACACTAGATTTAACAAAACATTGATCCAATACTCTCTCTCTCTCTCTATATAAAACAATCTTATGTGATCTCATGGCACTTGTGTACTTGCTTAGATGGCACTTACCGTCGTAGAGTAATCATTCTGGAGTTATCAACCTGTATGTACCTATCAGTAACAAAAAGAGTGAGGAAACTGCCAATTTATTAAAGGAACAAACAGAATGGCAAATGGTGCATATTCCCATTCTGGAATGCAGAATAACTGAAATGCTAATCCATGGAGAAAGATTTAGCTACCATTATTTCTATATCTCTTTGTTCGTACAGTCTAGAGTTTCTTAGAGGGGAACCTACTTAATATCATGAATTGGGCAAAGAATTGTATGTTGGGAACCAAACTACACCCCTTTAACCCATAATTTGACCCTTTGTAGCAGATAAAAAAAAATAAAAAATAGAAGGAACAGGGGATGGAAAAGGTTGAGGCAGATACAGGTCTTGGACTCTATATGTGTGGGTTGGGGTGAAATTTGACATTATGGCCCCGCTCCTATTATTTGCAGTGAGAGAAACACACATATCTATAAGGGCTTTCCTCCAGAGGAATTAGAAGGGGACAGGCGATTCCAGTTGGGACTACAGTGAAGGCAGAAAGATAAAACCCCCTCCTTTCCCACACAGTAATACTGACCTGGCTCACCCTTCTATCCCATAGCCTGCCAATGGCCAAATCCATACCACTCCCTTGTCCTGCCACAAGCCCACCCCACCCACATGTTCCAGGGCATGTAGCCTCATGCCTCTGCTGATACCTTCAGGGCAACCTGCAGCTAGGACAGCCCAAAGATAGGTTCTGCTTAGCAGAGGGGTTTTCTCTATTATCCCTCCTCATGACTCTGCATGCAGGCAATGGAGGGCCCTCAAAAAGGATTCATCTTGCAGCATCTGTGTGGCACTGAGTATCCTTTACCATGTTGGTTGTTTCACGTACAGCCAGCTATATAGAAACGAAAATCTTCCACAGAAGTGGTGACCAATTTGTTGCAACAAGGTCCATTTTTAGAATCGCCCAGGCAGTTTGAGCTATTACATTTGTGGTATTATGCAAAACAGTGTTTAGAAACCTCAACTGGTTCAGAATGTGAACCAGGTTGTTGACTGTGCTATGCAAATCTTATATTGTCTGCTTTCTAGTGTACTCTGGCAGTGTGTTTTGGCCTGTAAAGATCAAACTGGATATCCAAAGTGCCAGCTTCTCCAATAATAATCTGTTCAATCAGCGAAACCATAATCAAGGCTAATGTTCCATCACTGGGTGTTTTTCAGATGTGCTGAAACTGAACTCTCAGCATTTCAGCTAGCATGGCCATCAGGTTGAAGGTCATCAAGCTGAAGAAGGCTGACAGGCCCTCTCTCGAGAGCTCAGTGTTTGGACTTTAGGTAGGGATGGTAATGGCAATGTTATGATGGCAATGTTATAGCACATCCTCCCTAGAAATGTTTGATTAATTTCTTCCTCAGATGTTTTGTGAGTAACAAAATAATATTATCATTTCTTCTTTCTCTAGTTTTGGCCTTCAAAGTTTCAATAATAATAATAATAATAATAATAATAATAATAATACCACCACCACCACCACCACTACTACCACCACCACCACCACCACCACCAGTCTACTGCAAAAGCTAGATTTACTTGGAATAGTTTACATCCTGTGACAATACCATTAACACCATCAAAGAATAACATCTGCCTATCCCAGGTCCTTGGGGAGGACTCGATAGGTGGATAAAAATGCCAAATCCAGTCTAAACATGACTCGATAGGTGGATAAAAATGCCAAATCCAGTCTAAACATGACTCGATAGGTGGATAAAAATGCCAAATCCAGTCTAAACATCTGGCTGACTGTGCGACCAACAATAATATATTAAATTTATATGCCGCCCAACTCTCAGCAACTCTGGGTGGTTTAGAATTGTTGAAACATTTGAAAAACAGAAAACAATACAAAAAACACAAAAACAGCACAAGGCAAAGGAATAACGATGGCAAGGAAAATAAACCCAGAGGGAAACAGAAAGGAAGGAAGGGGCAACAATCATCCTCTCCAAAGGCCTGGGCGAAGAGCCAGGTCTTTAAGACCCTTTGAAATAACAGTAGAGTGGGAGCCATTCGAATTTGGGGGGGGGAACCTCATTCCAGAGGGCAAGCGCTCACCATCTTGAGCATGTTTTCAGCTAGATTGAACAAAGGACCTATTTAATGTAGATTCATTATGGTGCTGTTTTATTTTGAGCTTTAAATTGTTGTGAAAGCGTACTCTTAAAAAGGAGTTAAAATGACAGACTAGAACTGAAGAACCCATGGTCCAAGTTCTCACCCTTAGTCATGGACCTCACTGGATGATATTGGACCTGTCACTATCTCCAAACCCAATCTACATCACGAGGGTTGTTGTGAGAAACAATGGAGGAGGAATGCTTCAGCTCTTGGAGGAGAGATGGGATGAATGGATAAATATATAAAAAAGAAAAGAAAAAGAAAAATGAATGTTACAGCTATGCATCTTCCAAGATAAGATAAGATAAGATAAGATAAGAGTCACCCATTGGGGGAGATGGGCGGCATACAAATTTGAAAAATAAAAAAATAAAAAAATAAAAGATATAGCATTATCATTATGAATATATCAAAATATTTATGATAATTTACTCTTTTTATTACTTTTTTTCCCATTACAGAAGAGAAATGTTGCTGATACTGTAAGTATTCTCCTTATTTATAAGCCTCGTGCTGGAAAACCTTTCACCCCATTACACTGATTTTGAACTGAACTGCATTATTCATATACACGCTTCATACTGGGTGGCCTTTGTATTCAGTCTCAAAATTGCAGATGCCGAAAGGTGCTGCCCGTTTAGAAACCGCAGAGCATTGGCAGAATGGCTTCCAGTTTCACTTTGCAAGGCTGTTAAACTGAGTTTAGTTTCATGCTTTAGGGGAGAAGTTAATGCACAAGTGGGAAACGGCTCCAAGCTCAGTATCAATACTCTACATGATTTCCTTTCATTAAGTTTGTGTATACTGTAAGGACTGTCCACCATAAAAATGAGTCTGCTGCATATCGGAAGATCAGATTTTAATACCTTGACACTGAATTGCTTTTACTAGTATATGCATTTATGTATCTGTAGTATTTATGCCCAGGTAATCAAATTAAGATGGGCTAAAATGGAAAGTCTAATGGTAGCACTATTAATCTTTTTGTATGCCAATGCATATTAAGAAAATGGATACTTATCTATTGTTTAAATTCTGTTTAAATTACCCCAATCTTCCCAATTTGAAACTGGTCAATATCTTTCACTAACCCATCAAGCAAATGCTCATTTTCCAGAACACAGATGGCATTGACATCTATAGCATGAACATTGATTCTCGTATTACCTCTCGATTTGCTCATAATACCATCACCAGTCGAGCCATCAACCGCGGCAATGTGTCTATGGAAGCCTTCTTTGATGTGGAGCTCCCAAAGACAGCCTTCATCACAAACTTCGCCATGTATGTAAATCTACTTTCTCAAACAACTAAATTGTGAACAGACTATACAATTTTATAGAGCCACTTCACTAGGTGAAAATGTACTTGGCCATGCAGTAGAAATAAAGAAAAGGGTGCCCATTTGGTTTCAGCTTTCCAATATGTGGACTAGCTCAGTTTTGGGAATAAATTGTCCTTGACTACTCTGAACTTGCCAAACAGCCTAATTAATTTGATGTATCCCCATTTTTCATCTGGAATGCGATTTGTTCATTCTTAGGGTCCTGATTGATTACATGTTTGATATCTAGTAGGAACTACATTATTCTTTCATAATACTGTAGAATAGGGAAAATTAATCTGTGACTTCCAGGTTATTTCACTTCAATTCCCAGTAGCCCCAGCCCACATGGCCCTGTGAGCTGTAGTTTAACCACATGTGGAGGGCCACAAAGTTCCCAGCCCTGCTCCGGTGGAAGATATAAGAGGCACTCCTTTTGTATAACAAATTCCACTTTTCAAAATAAAAACGTAGTCACATTTTTATTCTGCTCTTTGGAGTTAGACATCTTGGATGCTTGGCTAAAGAGGGCAAGTATCAGAAAAATGTTTTAAATAAATAACTGTCTTACTGGTCAAATGACTCTCTTTTCTTGATTTTGTGGGGAAAAAAATCTGTTGGATTAGAGTAATAGCTGCTGCTGCTTTCCGTGGCCTATCTAAAAATGCCAGTGATTGAAGATAGTCTAGGATCTTTGTTTGGAAAGCACATACCTTGGCACTGAGCTAAGGGCTTCTCTTCTGTAAGACATCAACTGCAATCGGATAGATTCTTCATAATTGTCCTGCGGTGGACTGTAATTGTCTAATCGTTAAGATAATTACGACAGAAATGTTTCTCATTTAAACAAGATCATACGCAGGGATATATGAAAAAAGTTCATGCATTGAAAAGAGAAAGGCCAGAGAAAATATTTTTATGCCGTTACACACAACATACCTTTTCTTTCCTAGGATAATTGATGGTGTCACATATCCAGGAACTATAAAGGAAAAAGAAGCTGCTCAGAAACAATACCAACAAGCAGTTTCAAGAGGACAGACAGCTGGTCTAGTAAAGTAAGAATGTTCTTCTATCCTCATAGTTTATTGCTGGGTGAAAAAAGGGAGAGAAATGTATGGATTTGTACACAGAACTCAGTGTCATGGGAATAAGAGTTGACTTTTGTGTGATATTTCATCAAGTTGCTTATGGGCAGGAATGAATAAGTTCAATGCTATTTCTAAGTCTAGGCTTTGCATTCTGTGGAGCACACATGCTCAAGAACTGCATTATATACCAGTGTCCAAAATACCATTTTGGTAGTGTATGCCGGAGCTCTCTGACAACTTGATATTTTTGTTTGTTTTAATTTCACGGATAAGTGTAACTTTCAAAAGTTATGCCTTTAAATAGA